GATTTTGATAAATTAACATTTTCTGATTTTTTTTAATCAATGTCACCAAAAAATTCCTAACCGGATGAACTTACGCCCTGGGAGTTAGGTTTACATAGGTGGATCCAAACACCACATCCTTTCTAGCTTGCTCTGCTGTGGACGTCTCTAGCTGAACTGGGCTCTTTTTGTGTTCAGATCTCAGATGTGCCCCAAAGTAGAAATAACATTGCAAATGACCTAGATGGAACATCACTCTATTGCACGCAGGGGGTTGCTGAATGCTACAAACGTGGATGCTGCGGCAACTGTTTGTCATGTTCCTTGCTACATTTCCTCTCCACTACAGTTTTTTAAAAAGTCTCATAAAAATATAGAAGTGCATGAATGGCAGTAAAAAAATAAGGACATTTGTAGGATTTCTTTTATAAATAGACAGCACAGCAAGAATTAAATAGAGCCCGGCCAAAGAACATTTGGCCCGGCGCTGGCCTTTACAACTTGTTCTCCTCAAACAGGATCTGGGCGTAGACCGTCGTGGTGGGCACCCCTTTGGCTTTCTGATGGGGCTTCATCAGCTCGAGCTCAGCGTACGTTAAACTCTCCTCTGCGATTTTCGGCTACAAAACAGAACCACAAAATAGAACCACGGGGTTAGCGAAGATCGCAAGGGCCAACCCTCACAAAGACACGGGGTTTGTTGTGTCTAGACCATCCAAGGCAGATGGCTCTCCAGCCTTCTTTTGGCAGCCTTGAGTGAAGGAGCTTGCACCACACCTCCTTAGGCGACCAGTTCCATGGTCCTACTGGTCTTACGTTAGGAAGTTTTTCCTGAAATTGAATCTAAATCTGAAAAAACAGTAAGGAGGTTCTAATGGCCCTTCCAGTAGGTTGGTCTTACGTTAGGAAGTTTTTCCTGAGATTATTTCAGATTTAGATTCAAACAGTTAGGAGGTTCTAATGGCCCTTCCAGTGGGCTGGCTGACTTGAAAGGACTGATGGGGTGTCCTATACAACGGGTCAGATTTTACAGGTGTTCGGGTGCCTACCTCCAATGCCTTACATTGGGAACCAGATGGCTAAATGCTTTTACAAATCTGGTCCAATAGGCCTTATTTTTCTCTGAACCAGCATACTCCTCCCTGGGGTTGGGAGGAGAGAAAGGAGGAAAAAAATATCTTGAATATATTGTTTGGGAAATTGTATCTACGTTTTTCAAAACTTTGCCCTTTGAATGTTTGTTTTCGCATTTTCCCCCCGAGCTGCTGCGGTGACAGAGGGCTGGGGTTAACCTTTCTCCCCGGGGCTCCCTGTGCTCCTCCTGCTCAGCCCCACCCCGGAGCAATGCTAAATGAAGAAAAACGAAAATGAATTGAGTTAAGCACCCGAGCAACGCGGGGTAAATCTTGGAGTAATCAATAAAGGAACTGAACTTGACTGCTGGGCCCAGAATGCACTGTGCCCCGAGAAACGTCTAAGCATGGACACGAACAGTTTGAACATCGTACAAACCTTGGATAGAGTGGGGTATTATCGTTCTTGCGAGTAAAACCCTCGAGATAGGCTGGACAAGGTGGGTGAGGTAATATTTCATTGGGCCAACTTCACTCTCCTTGTTTCTTTAATATCCTGGCACCAAAGCAGCTACCACACTGCCAGCAGCATTGAGGCAACTGTGCTAATTTCCAGATTTATCGGTTTATCTGCTCTCTTCGACTATTGTGGAGCAGTGGTGGGCTATAAGCCGCCTGCAGCCCGTCGAGGTTTTACGTGCGGCCTGTGAGACACGTTGTTTACTGCCGCTCAGGGGGGTTCTGACTACATCGTTTTTTCTTTACTGCCGCTCAGGGGGGTTCTGACTACATGGTTGTTTTTTTCCCTACCCCTGTTACTAAAGTGCCACGCACGTAAAGCAAGGCCATGTGACACGAGCAATGTGACTGCACACCACATTGACTGTCAGAAGTGCCGCTCACTTTGCTACATCCTCTCTGTAGCTCTGCTTCCGTATCCCTGGCCTCGGGTCGGGTCTGCTGTGGGAAGAAGTGGCTCACTGAAGCGGTCGAACGGCTCATGGAAAGAGAGGTGGGTAAGCGTGTTTAGCAGGATTAGACCAATGACCCCACTCCTGCAATCCCTTGCGTAGTTATCTTTCAGTGCTCGAGCAAATCCCATTTAATCTCAATTTCTGCTTCTCAGGCACCAGAACAGTGCTGCAAAGCTGGAGTCCGAAGTGAAAGCAAGCCCAAGGAAAAGGAACAGAAATTTCAGAGAAGATCAGTGTTCTGGAGATTGATCTTCCGGTGTTTGATTTAGCAGGCCTACTAAGGACCCCCTAAATCAAACGCTGAGAGCACCTCCATTGACCAAGGAACTCTGCGTGAAGGGAAGTCGATAAAAGAGTTTCTCCTGTTGACCTCCTGCTGCGGGAATGCCCCAGAAAATCGATGCAAGGAACATTGACTCCAGCTGTGCAATTCTTGTAGCTGGAGTTGCATAACTTGCATCCATTTTCTCTGCCAGCGTAGACTTGGCCATAGAGATTTAACGCCAGGGTGGCCTTACTGCGGTCAGCTAGTCTGCCCTAATCACCCAGTGATTCTTGCATCAAGGCTGGACTTTGATTGAGCTAGAACATCCTTTTCCCAAACCATCTTGATTTGAAGATGCAAAAACGTTGGTGAATCCATCACCTCCCTAGGTGGATCCAACAGTTAGTCACCCTCACTGTTAAATTCAGGCATGAAATAATGGGCACAGTTTTTATCTAGCTTCAACTTCCAACCGCTGGATCTTGTTTTGCCTTTAGCCAGCTCTACACCAGGGGACAAATTTAAGATTTGCAACGCCAGCTAGGAGAGCTGCGCAGATGGAGTCGACGTGCCTTAGACTGAATTCCTGGGGCGGCCCCACGGTGGGAGATCAGCGGGAGAAACTCTCCCGTCCATGGGCGTCGGGTATGTAAGGTGGGAGAAGGCTCCGCCTCCCCCAACCGCCAGGCTTAGTCACACCCACGCTCCTCCAACTGTAGGCATTCTGGGGGCGGAGTGTTGCTGCCCCCAGCGCCTGCCCTCCCCTGTGTTCCGGGTCGGAAGAGGCCAGGCCTGGTCGTGTGGTGCACCCTTCTCCCTCCTTCAGGGCTGGAGAGGTCTGGCCGGGCCACCCGGTGCAGGACGCCCTGCTTCCTCCCTTCCCCGGTGCTCCAGAGGCTGGGCTAGGCTGGGCTGGGCCGCAGGGCGTGGTGCGCCTTCCACCAGGGCTGGGGAGGGCGTGGCGAGCATGCGCCACCTCCCCCAGCCCTGTCTTCACCGACCACCCATGCTCCCTTACTCCTCTCGACTCTGAGGAGTACTGGGTCGACAGGGGTGCCATCGGTTTTCAATTTAATGGGTCCTTTCTAGACCCGCTCAATCGAACCCCGGAAGATGGATATCCAGAACGTCGATCTTCTGGTAAGTACAGACGAGGCCTTTGTCTGCTAGACTGAAGTTCCCTTTAGGAGTTTCATAATCTTCTGGTCCCTTCCACTCTCCTGGCTGGCTTTTGCTGACTACAAAACCTAAATTTGGGAGCTCAGCTAATTTTGTCCCATGAAGCAGAACAGTAAGAACATGCAAAGCATTTATGTAAAACATACAGTAATAGAGCCACCCTAACGGCCCGAAGCCACTGGTGTTTTGTCTTTGTTGCCTTCAGCGAGAGCTGGATTGGGCCCTAAATATAAAATTGCATGTTGTGCGTGGAGACCTTCCCGAGAACGAATCTGGCGAGATTTGCAAATTTGGCCATTACCGGTTTAAAGCTCTGCATTGGCCGTTCTTCCTTTGCGATGGAAATATTTACATAGCTTTGTGGAAATCAATTGCTTGGGGCAAACTCAACCAGGTTTGCATTCCCCTCTGCTGTTTAATTACATTTCACGTTTGTTTCCGGTTAGAAAACGTCGTGTGTCCTAAAATAGCCACCCCGACGCCCCGCTCATGTAAATTTTAGATCTAAGATTTAGGAAATCATATTGTCCAGGTGTTTTATTACATTATCTTAAAATTGCATTGTTTTCTAGTGTAGATTATCTCTTTATTCCTACTTTATTCTATTATGTTTGGATATGAAAAATAACACTAGATTCCCCCAAACAGGTCATTGGGCACCACTGGCTGATGTGTTGCTTTCATACATTTTTATGATGTTCCTATAGTAAACATAATTTAATAAAGCCAAAACACACTAAATAAATAATTGCATCTAGAAAAGCAATAAAACCAAATAAAATTAGTACTTTCATAAGTGGAAAAGGTACTGCAATTACCGCTACAAGCCACAGCACACCATAAAATGTGTAGAATAATTTCCCTTATGCATATTTCTAGTATGTAATAATTTGATTGAAAATATGAGGAAACACACAGGAGGTTCAAACCTGAGATGTGTGTACAGTTTTCAGCAAAGGGTAATAAGGTACATGGAAACCAATGCTACTTTAAAGGTCCTATAATATCTAGGTTTTTTGGGGGAAAGGGGAGGTTTCTAGCCACTTTTCCGTCTTTCAGTCATTGGCCACATTTAATGTTGTTTTGCTTATTGAAAACAAATTTTCAGTCATTGGCCACATTTAATGTTGTTTTGCTGGTTTGCTTATTGAAAACAAATTTCAGACACGCCGGGAAAGAGAGCTAATGCCGCAATTCCTCATCTTGGTTAGGTTTGGGAGCATGTGGGCAAAGTAAGAGCTGGGAAAATGCCAATCTTCTGTTATGGAACGGTTCCACCCCCTGAGTAACAACCAATCTCATTGGTGGGTCTGGAAGAGGAGAGAAATGAATCATCGGCCATTCACCTTCTGTGTTTCCAAGAGATGTGGGTGAGTCTGCAACATCGCCACAACCATGACTGACCAAATGGTGCCAAAAATGAATTCTTCAGAAACGAAATCACTTCCAAAGCCAGGTCTCTAGATTCAAAGCCTTCCTCTTGGCAAATACCAATTTTTTTCAGGCTTCGTGATCAATACAGTGTAACGTACATCACAGAACCATACGACTCGGAAGAACCATCATGATTCTCCTTCCAAGTGCTCTTCAGGTTGGTTTTTAAGTTATTGCAGAAATGGGGCTTTGCTCGGGAGACTATTGTGGAATAGAACTCACTGCGAGCTATTTCATTCCTCATCGACGGCTTGCATAACTCGCCATCTGAGGGTATGTCTGCACTACAGAGCTTTGTCGGAAAAACGGCCGTTTTGCCGACAAAACCTGAAGAACGTCCACACTGCAATTGCATTCTTCCGCGAGGGTTTTTTCCGGCACTGGTAATCCTCATTCTATGAGGAAGAAGGCTTTTTACGAAAGAGCTCTTTCACCAAAAGGCGTGTGTGGATGGGGAAGAGGGAGTTCTTCCAAAAGAAGAGGAAAGAGGAAAAAGCACAGGTGCCCTGGTGGCCGTTCTGTCCACAGCAATCACAGCTTACGTGCGAGAGAGCGTCCATTCAGTGTGGACACTCTCTTTCGAAAAAGCAGATCGCTTTTTCGATGCACTTTTGCAGTGGGGACGCTCTCTTTCGGAAGAAGTTTTTTCGGAAGATCTCTTCCAAAAAAAGCTTCTTTCGAAAGAAGCCTGTCTA